AACAAAAAACAGTACGAAAAATATAGCTGATATTGACGCATGCGCACAAAAAAAATGTGATGAAAAGGCCTATATGACTAATTATTGCGGAATAAAAATCTGTTAAAGTGTGATACTTTTCTGAAATTTTAGTTACAATAATACTGATATATTTTGAATAATTGGCAACATCTTTGCCCGTAATTTATTCAAAAATTACATTATCACTTCAATGAAAATTCCATGCTACTGCAGTAATATCTTAACAAATTTGCGTCAACAGGTATTTGCGTAGATATATCAATATTTTTACGTATGCAAATGAATTTTTTGTTTTCTTACCCTAGTAACAATCATTGCCATCTATGTTTACATGCCTACAAAGAAAATTAGTAAAATACATCCAAAATACGCGTACAACATATCTATAGTATCATTGGATGTTTTTTTATCAAAGAAAACTTTTTGAAGAGCATTTTTAAAAAATTAATAATTATAATAAAAAAACGCCAAAATAGTGAAAATATTGTTAAATGATTAATAAAACACAACTTATTGTTATAAAACACACGTAGATCTTTATTTAATTAGATTTAAAACACATTTTGTGAAAAATGACATCCAGAGGAATGATTACACAGGCCAACATACATTTTGGTGGCTGCGATTTTTGACTGCATTCGAGGGGCGTCCCGCGGTCAGAAAAGTAACCCCTGACCTTCCTAGCTGCGTCCCGCGGCCAAAGAAAAAGGCCGAAATAAGTATCACAGATAGCCGAGGTGCATCCGTAATTTCGATAATAATGGATGGATATGTTGGAAATGGGGTGTTAATACACTGCGACCTAAAAGATCTATTGTACCCTCTGCAGTCGCTAATGCAGCAAGGAAATGTCTCGATGTCTATAACGACCCTTCCAATCCTATCTTCTCAAGGAAATTTAGTATTTTAGAGTTGCTTCAAGTTAAGTAAATCTCCCTCTTCTATTCAGTGGCGGCTCGTGCCTTAGCATATAGGTGGCCCAACGCATTAACATTTTCGGGTGCCTAGCCCAGATTTTGACTCGAAGTCGTTAAAAAGCATATCTTGGGTAATATTTTAAAGTATATTAACGTGCGCATTTATCATTTTTACAAAATAATAAATAACATAAAAAACTTACCAGAATGTAGCTTCGAATAGTAATTTATTGCACTCCAAACCTATACAGTCTAGTCTTCGTTCTGTTTTATTAGTGAAAAGGTCAATCACTCGTCTATTAAAGTCGTCAATATTAGAAACACTTTTTCAGCTGATAACATTCCTAGCGCACTTAGTCTTTCTTCTTTCATTGAGTTGGGTAAAAAGTTTTTATCCTCTTTAACATAGAGATGGAATGGAATGGAATGGAAACATTAGAACTACTTCTCAAAACTCATTTCGCTGATTGCACAACAAACTCGAATGCAGCAAACCAAACCCACACGAACTGGAACTCTCAAAAAAGGGCCTCCAGCCAAGAGTGGGAAACTGCTGAATGGGTAGTTACAACAGAGAAAGTAACATGGGCAATACGCACCTTCAATCCATACAAATCACCGGGACCAGATGGGGTACTGCCTGTGCTTTTGCAACAGGCAATAGAAACGCTGGCCCCGCATATTTGTAGGCTCTACAAGGCAAGTTTGGCGCATAAACACGTACCAAATACCTGGAAACAAAGCAGAGTTGTCTTCATACCTAAACCAGGGCGTCCAACGTATGCCGTGGCAAAGGCCTATAGACCAATAACTCTGACGTCATTTCTATTGAAAGGATTGGAAAAACTGATTGATCAGCATGTCCGGCAAACCACTCTGATAGAGAGGCCATTTCATACAAACCAACATGCCTATCAATCAGGAAAATCTTGTGAGTTTGCTCTGCATCATCTTGTAACCAAGATAGAGCTCTTGTAACCAAGAGAGAGGGAGGACTCAGTAGCCAAGAAATAGTCCTAGGAGCATTTCTTGACATAGAAGGAACTTTTGATAATACCTACTTTAAATCAATGGTAGCTGCCTCTCGCAAACATGGAATAGAAGACACCATCTGCTGGTGGATAGAAGACATGTTAAGCGGACGGCAAGTACAGGCACAAATGTTCAGTGAAACCATGCAGGTGAATATTCACAGGGGATGCCCTCAGGGTGGAGTCCTTTCTCCTCTACTGTGGAACCTAGTGGCAGACGAACTGCTGAAAACACTAAACAATCAAGGGCTGTATGCCCAAGGATATGCCGATGACACATAGTCATCCTTATCCGAGGGAAACACCAAACCACAGTCTTTGAACTTATGCAAAGTGCTCCTAGGCTGACAGAAATGTGGTGCGTTAGGGAAAACCTCAAGGCACAACTCATAACCTTTACTCTAAAAACAAAATTGGAGGTTTATGAAACTCTAACTCTGTTTAGAGGAGGGCTAAAGAAAACGAACCAAGTAAAATATCTAGGTCTAATCCTAGATAGCAAACTTACTTGGAACCAACACTTACAAAAAGTGACCAAAAAATGTAAAATGTCTCTCATAGTAGGGAGACGGGCATTTGAAAAACATGCGGATTCAAACCAAAAATGGTCCACTGGCTATATTTAGCAATAATAAGATCCATGATAACTTATGGAGTGGTTGTTTGGTGTCCAAAAATAAACCAGAAAACAGCCCTCAATACCCTCTCAGGAGTACAGAGGCTGGCATGCCTTTGTATTACAGGAGCACAGAAAAGAACACCGACAGCCTCTATGGAAATCATTCTATACCTCCCACCCCTCGACCTAGTCATAAAGGGGAGGCCAGAATGAGTGCATACAGACTGGAAATCTCCAACAACTGGAACCCACTGGGACATATAAAACATACCAGAATGATTCTATATAAAATATGGGATCAGATCACATGACACCCCTCCTAACCTTTAACAGACTCTTCCAGGTCAACTGTAACTGGAACGAGGTAAATAAGGAGATAGATAAATACTTGTTTCGTGGTCTCATATGGTATACGGATGGATCTAAAACTAACAGGGGAACAGGCTCTGGCGTACATGGAGTTAAACCCAAATGCGACATCATCGTCTCACTGGGAAAACATGCCACTGTATTTCAGGCTGAAATACATGCAATTGAATTGTGTGTACGAGAGAATTTAAGAAGGAAGTATAAAAAACAAACCATCCTAATTCTCTCAGATAGCCAGGCAGCTTTAAAGGCTCTTGATTCAAACAGAATTAAGTGAAAGCTTGTCTGAAACTGCCTTGGAATACTAAATGATCTGGCAACCCACAACAAGGTAAAACCGGCGTGGGTACCAGGGCACAAAGGTATTCAAGGAAATGAAAAGGCTGATGAACTCGCCAAAGAGGGATCAGATCTACCATTCACAGGACCCGAACCTGTATTTGGGATAAGTAAAACCTCTGCTTGACAGGCAGTGAACAGGTGGATAACTATAAAACACCAAATTCACTGGCAACAGATAAGAGGGCACAGAATCAGTAAGCTCATGCTAAGGGGACCAAACCCACGCATGGCTACTGAGGCACAACAACTCGCAAGGCTTCAGATATCCACCATTGTGGGATTACTAACAAGGCACTGCTTGCTGAAACACCTTCGTGTAATGGGATTACACAATGATCCCACTACGTGTAGACTTTGCATGGAAGAGGAAGAAACCTCATACCATGTGATCTTCGAATGCGAAGCTCTTACTGGGCGACGTTTCATCCTTTTCGGCCTAGAACCGGAAAGAACGCCCCAGGAACACTTGGTAGGGAACCTATTAAAACTAACCAAAGACACAGGCCTATTCCAAAGATAGTACCTGAATACGGGAAAAGCAGGGGAATACAATAGACCCAAGAGGCCGCAGTGTTCTGGGCCAAACCTAACCCTACTTGCTTACAACCGATAAAGATAAAGATAAAAAAAACATAGAGAAACATCTTTCAGCTTCGGATGTTGACATAGGTGTTGTCACTAAAACCCAGTAATTTAATAGTTTCTTGAAAAGTGTACTTCATATCTTCCTGCGAAACTAATGATAACAGAGGAATAGCCCCAGAAATGGTTTGCAACTCTTCTCTTTCGTAAAGTACTTGCAGTTTTTTCTAGAAATCGATATGCGTTAACTGTATCAGAGAGCAATTGATCAGGAAAGTTTTTTGGTATTCGATAAAATGTTCTTTCTTGAATAATGCGGTAGCTATCAGATGTTCTGTGAAAGCGAATCGTGTTCTAATCTGTTGTATAATGGAATCGCAAACTTCCAAGGCTTCCATTTTTCTATTTGTTGAAACAGATAGATCGGAACGAGGGTAACGTCGCCTTTTCTGAGGAACAAGTTCATGTTTAGCTTTGATAGGGTCGGTATTAATCGTCTGCAGTTACTTAAAAACTGTTAACCAGAATATGAAATATCTGACCTGTAACTAAGTTTATAAGCACCAGCTTGCTCAATAGTAGAATTTAATTTAATATCTTTGTCGTTCTCTAAAATATCCATAACGTGTATCAGTTCATTTCGGTATTCATAAACTGTATTAACTTCCCGTGATTGGAAATTCCATCTCGTTTGTAATGAGCGTGGTTATCGTCTATGAACTATATCATCCAATATTTTTGTTCTTTGAGGTGATGTAGAAAAAAGCACAAATCTCAGTTAAATGAACGAAAAAAATCCGAACAGACGCATTAATTGAATCACTGCTCATTATAAGGTTAATCTGATGTGCATACCAATGAGCATAATTTGTTAAAGAATATCCATCTTTAATTATTTTTTGTACCCCATTCATACCTCCGCTCATGACTGATGCTCCGTCGTAACTCTGCGCGATCAACTTATTTGGATTAATTTAAAATGCAAATTGTATTGAAATGGCATTGTGTTCGGGAGGATATACAAATTTCCCAAATCTTTCTACTGGCTTACTGGAGGCAATGTATCGTAGAATAATTGAAATTAGTTAGCAACATCGGTAGTTTCGTCAGTAATTACAGCTACATAATTCGTTTTTTAATTTCTTTAGCTACTTCTTCATGGTAAACGCCAAGCTTGCAGTCCAATAGTTCGTTTTGTATGGTCTTAGAGGTCCCTTTAAATACTGTTGCTTTGTGGAAATGTTTCTTTAAATCTGCATCTAATTCAGAACTAAAATCTATCAATTCTCGGAACACTCTTTTATTTTTGGATTCTTGGGTTTCATCATGTCCGCGTAATGCAAATTCTAATGCACCACAAAATCTAATACCTTTAATAATGATGTTTAAAATATATCTGTTTTTATCAACTTGTTTATTGTGGGTAATAATATTTTGTCTATAAACCGAATTTAATTGAGAGTCAGTATTTGATTTTCCAAGCAAAGAATAACTAAAAATATTATTTACATGGGCCTTACTGTTTTCATGCGTTTTAATTTTCTCATAAATGTGTACCAAATCAGTTACACCATGCATCGTCCACGAAGAATCACCTCCGAAAAAACACACACAAAACAAAAAAATGTTTTTTTTTTATCACATCCACCGATCCAGTTATTTTTTAAGTACAAATTACGGTTAAACTTTCTTATCCGGCCTTTGAAGTTTGACGAACTTGAGGTGGAAACCTTCTGCGTTTTTGTTATTTCCAAATCGGGAAGAGGTCTTCCAAGTTCCTTTATTTGGATTTTTTCCTCGAGCGAGTGCGTAGGAAAAGGTTTCAGTAACAGATTGCTTATTTTATTCATTTTGCTTCGGACTCCGGACGATTTTTAATTTATTATACTTTAAAAACCTACTATTCTGACTTACTACCTAACAAACAAAAATTCAGCACGCATAAAATGTCAAAAGCAATACGCCGAAATCGCCAAACACATGATTGAAACAATACTATTCTAAGTATTCATTCCGAGCCGCTTGAAACGTGGCCCCGTTTGTAATAATTATTGTAATTAATATAAAAATCTGATGTGTACAACACATGACTTTCCTATCTAGTTATTACGGGCTTTTTTCGGTTATTTTGTACAACCTATTGTAGCACCTCTGTAAATATTTAGAGGTTAACTTAATATATACATTTTCCATATACATCTAACTCAAAAATTCTGAAAAATTTAAATTTTATAATTTTCCTCCAATTTTTCCATTATGGTCCATTTTAGAGAAATCATGTAAAAAAACAAAATTATAGAGATCGATATGGCAAACATCTTTTAATTCAACAATTTTCTAAAAAATCATAATTTTTTACATTTTGTAAAATTCCTCGAATACGGACTATTTTAGGAAAATTTTGCATAAAACAAAAATTATATAAAATAATATTAGAAGTAAGTTTTATATAAAAAAATTTCTTCTCCAAACGTAAATAACAGATATATTCCATAAAATATAAAAACGGCCTCCCATAAAGTACCCCCCAGGTGTTCCGCCTTCGTCCAAAATCTAATGATTTCACCTCAGGCCGAAATAAAACTTAAGTTTAAAATTTAATGTTTTTTTCCGTTTTTGAGTTTCTTCAAAATTCGAAATTTACACATTTTCTCAAATATCTCGAATACGGTCGATTTTAGAGAAATTATGTATGGGATAAAAATTATATTACAAACAACTTTTATTTTAACAATTTTTATAAAAAAATAATTTTTTTACATTTTGTCAAATTTCTCGAATACGGACCATTTTAGAAAAATTTTATATGGAACAAAAATTATAGATATTAATATTGTAAGTAACTTTTATCTAAAAAAAATTTTCTTCTTTAAACGTAAATAACGGATATATTCCATAAAATATAAAAATTACCACCAATAAAGTACCCCCCCCCAAATGTTCCGACTCTGCCCAAAATCTAAACAGTTCACCGCGGGCCGGAATAAAGCTTAAGTTTAAAATTTAGTGTTTTTCTTTGTATCGGTTCATGAGTTATGGTGGACACAGACACACACACACACACACACACACACACACACACACACACACACACACACACACACACACACACACACACACACACACACACACACGCACGCACGCACGCACCCACCCACACACACACACACACACACACACACACACACACACACACACACACACACACACACACACACACACACACACACACACACACACACACACACACACACACACACACACACACACACACACACACACACACACAGAGACATCATCCCGAAAATAGTCAAAACGGATTCAGGGGACCCCAAAACGTAAATCCGTCTAAAACTGGAGGTCGAGTGTGATGTACAATATTTTTCCTACGACCACAAAATAATGTCATCAAAAAAATGTAAAATCAAGGTTATTATTACTTTAATAATTAAAAAGTATTTAAAAAATAATCAAAAAAAAAAACTAAAAAAAAAATAAAAAAACAAAAAAAATTCTGCCCCGCCAGGATTTGAACGCGGTCGAAAAATGGCAAAGTTGATAAGTTCGACGTTCTAACCACCTGAGCTAATAGCCATTGTGTCAATTGAATGATCTAATCGGTTATGTATTTAACCAGAATAAAGAGCAAACATTATTTTAAAATTATTTTAATAATAATTGTTAAAGATAAATATCTAGGATCTAATTTACAACAATTTCAATAATTTAACAATCATATCGATTTTAGTATTAATATGGACATTACATAGATCAAAATAGAAATTAGGTGTTTGACATTTTGTGACAACTACTGCGGAAAGTAACAAATTCTCACTCGGGTGGAAAGTAAATTCTTATTCATTCGCGTGTGATATAGGGCACTTTCCATAGGACTATATAGTGTGATGTGTGTCACTTTCCTAAGTAGTCGTAGGAAAAATCATGATTCCTATACTTTCCTTATCTGTATACAGATAGGAAAGTAAAAAGAAATATTTTTAGAGACCGAAATATTTATAAATTTTGCGCCAGTGCCAAGGCTCTTTGTCCCTTTAGGACAAACCGCCACTGTTTCTATTTAGTATGCTCCCAGGTATAGTGCCCTTGGATTCTGGAGTGCTACACATTCAGTCAGGATGTGAATTGAGGTTTGATCCTTCTCCTTACAGAACCTGCACTCGGATAACAATAGATAATTGAATATCGACATAAAACAGTAATTGTTTTCAATATAGAGTTTATTTTAAAAGCAGTAGGTATTAAATTACCAAAAGTCAGACAGCGTAAAATGTAGCTTTAAGTATACACATCCCTAATAAATAACAAGTACAATAGTTGACAAAAAAGAAATGCTACATTAACTACAAAAAATGTATGTATGTAAACACAAAAATGTAATGTTTTATAAATTATTTTTTGGTAAAAAAATTTTATATATAATTTTCACAAAATCAAATTTTTTCAGTGCGTCATTATACAAAATAATTTTTCTTATAAAAATTGCTCCTTTTCAATAACTTCAATATTTTTTTTTTGTTTGAACGAGAAGTATAAACATTGTAATAAATTTAGAATGAAATGACTCACAGCTATTTGTCGTTCGCATTATTGAATTGGAAAATTTTGCCCAAATTTAGGGAGGAAATTTGGAAGATTGTTCCAGATAAATATTTAAAAAATCAAAATTGTCAAGGAGGCGGCAGTGATCTATTATAAACCTTGCTCCACTTACGGCGAGGTTGAAGAGGCTGGGAAGATGTTCTTCCTCAAATGGTATGGGGTACCAGCATGACAGACCTTCCTTAACCAGTACCGCTTCCATTCGTTCATGAGATCAGTGGTAAATATTATAAGTCCTACATCAGCTCCGTACCACCAACTGAGAGTGCAGCTAAACAGCATTGTCGGCGCACGAAGTGCAGAAATGGCTCGGGAATGGGCTACCCCCTCAAGAGTGGGGGTGGAAACATGTAGGAAATACCTTGGTGCCAATTACAACAAAAGATCCATCAGCACCGGATATCCTACTAAAAACGATATTTTACCGCTTCAACAAGGATTGTGGTAGTGGCAGTAATGCCGGAAAGAAATGTTGAGCTGTTCTGCGACGTGCCTCCACTGTCAAGGGAAATGGCGTACCTGCTGATGAGGATGACGATGAAAACCAGCAAGAATTACCCACGACTGAGGATGAGGAGGATATGGAAAAAGAACCCTGGCCAGGACCCTCACGGCCAAAGAAGATGGAAACGTGAATCCAGAGAAAGTTGAGAGTTTAAAATTAGGAAATTATTAAAATAAAATTAAATTATTGATCTTATTTATGTGTCTCTTTTTTAAATTCAATGCTCAGTCAAATAGTTTAGACAATATGAATGTGAATATCTTTTTTTGGAAAATATTCTTTTTCCGGAGCGTGTAGCTCGAGAACGGTTGGGTATTCGAAAACATATATTTTTTCTACACCCACATGGATATTAGCTTATCTACGTATAGACTAAAAAACGAAAAAGTATGTGATTGCGTTCAAATGAACGAATATATTTCATATCCATTCTAGGTAGTGTGAACACTGCAAAAAAATCCACCAATCACAGTTCATATTTTGGACACTCAATTACTATTATTTTAAGAATTTGATATAAAGTGGCAATCCTGTCAAATTAATTGTCAGTATATTTTTTAGTTATTGAGATTAAATATACATTAAAATGAGTTATTTTGGAGTAGAATCGATAAATAATCGTAAATAATAGCATTTTTATTTTTATTTGGACCATATTTAAAAAAAAATTAATTTTTATCAAACCATAATCGTAAAAGTGGCCGTAGACGCGTGGACAGAGCGTTTGCCTTCCACGCGAAAAGCCGGGGATCGAATCTCGGCCTGGTACTATTTTTTTTTCATGTTATTTTATTTTAAAAATCAGTAAAATTTATAAATTATTTTAAACTTAGTTATTTTGTCTTAATAACATAAAATATTTTTTTAAATTTGTAGATTTTCCTTAGTGGGTCGTTTAAAAAATATACTGTACAACTCAAGTGGATTGTCCATTTGGTTCTCAGACGATTGAGCACTCTTCCTACGGCGTCGTGGCCAAACTTGATCTTCAAGCGATATGGCCATCTTAACACTCTTGTTGCACAAACTACTATTATATTTCTTTACTAAGTATTCCAACATGGAAACAATAAAAAGTAATTTTTGTTGAGAATTACCCATGTATGTGTAAAAAAATTATCGTAACCTCATAAAAAGCGACTATAAAATAATTACAAATTTTTTAGAACCTAATATTTCCATTCAATTATTTATAGTGATTAAATTAATAAACACGATAAACTTCTGCAGATAATACATAATGTA